TCGTCGTGGCTATGATATTATTATTCTGATCATGGGACTGATCGTTCGCCTTGTAATTCTTAATACGATTCATATGATTCGTGCTATTGTTCCTCGTTTTCTTATAAAACAATATTGTCATTACTATCCCTCCTCGTCCTCCTCCTCCTCCTCCACCTCCTCCGCCTCCTCGTCGACCTCCTCCACATCATCATCCTCATCCTCCTCCACCATTCGTTTTCCTTCTAGATACCACCTCCCTGTCACGCCTAGAGGCCAGTCGAAAGGGCCGGCCGGGCGTTCCGCCAGAGGCTTCCCCACCATGTACGGCCCTGCTGCTTGAAAACTAACAACAGCTTCACAGATGGCGGGCGGGTCGCTTCCAGAATGTGGCTCTCGCCTAAGTGCCGCGCGCACTCGCTGAAAAAATGCAAAAGCTTCACCAATTGAGGGCGGGTGGTTTTCAAAATGTGGTTCCCGCCTTGGCGCCGCGCACACTCGCCCTAACACCTTGTAAAAGTTCCATTGGTTGATGGCGGGTCGTTTTCAAAGTGTCGCTCTCGCCTCACCGACGTGCACATTCGATATAAAAATGCGCAAAATATCCACTGATTGAGGGCGGGTTTGTGTCAACATGTGGGTCTCGCCTTAGCTCCGCGCGCACTCCATTTACGCAAGAGCTCCACGGATTGAGGGTGGCTCGTTTTCAAAATGTGGCTCTCGCCGTAGCGCCGCGCACATTCGTTTAAACATTGTGCAAGAGCTTCACGGATTGAGGGTGAATGGTTTCTAAAATCGATGTTCGCAATAGCGCCGCCCACACTCGCTCTAAACATGAGCAACAGCTTCACGCATTGACGGCGGCTTCTGTTCAAAATGTGGTTCTCGCCTCAGCGCCGCGCATTTTTGCTTTCAATAGTTGCATGAGATTCACTGATCCACATGGCTAGCATAACAGAAACTGCATTTGGGAACGACTCGCGGTGTTGAAATCCCAGGAACATGTTTTCGTACGCTTCAGGATCGCCAAGACGTAACAGTCAGGCTATACCGTGGCGTTGAAATCCTAAAAACGAAGTTTTGGCACGCATCAAAATGTTCACACGGCTGCCCCCCCCCCCCCCCTAGAAGGCAATTCCATCAGCTAAAACGGCCCATGGTAAAGGGGCCTGTGAAAAGAAACCTTGGAGGGAAAGTGTATTTCAACATCGTTGATACGTTTTGGGTTTGCACTGGTCCTCCTCAATCCCCTTTCGTTATGTAAAACGTTTCCCTCTCGCACCCCGAGGCCTGCTTTTAGGGCGGGCCGGGTGGTTCGCCTGAGACGTCCTCACCATGTACGACCCTGAAGCTTTTTTAAAAAATGACAGCATTTTCACAAATGTATGGCGGGTCGTTATCGAAATGTGGCTCTCGCCTTGGAGCCGCGCACATTCGTTTTCTGAGCATTTTCTTGGGGTGGAGGGCTCAGGGTGAAATCCATATGGGCTTTCGCACCTTGAATATCCACCCGTCTGGTGATTCGACTTTTGCAAATGCAAGCCTCGAAGATCCATCCAGGCGGCATTTCAGATTTCACCCTTTGCCCTCCACCCAAAGAAAATGCTAGGGTTTTATTTGCCAGAGCTTCACGGATTGAGGGCGACCCGTATTCAAAATGCGGTTCTCGCCTTACCGCCGCGTGCATTCGCATTGAAAAAGTGCAAGAGTTTCACGGGTTGAGGGCGGTTCCTGTTCAAAATGTAGCTGTCGCCTTAGCGCCGTGCAAATTCGCTTCTCATATGTGCAAAAGTTCCACGGCTTCCTATGATCAGCGTGGCAGACATGCGATGCGATGCGACCACCGTTGCGGACAGCGTCCGGGCTTAGAGCAGGCCAGGCGGGTGATGCCATGGCCTTTAGGATATGAGGTGTCTGGATTCATGCAATGCGAGATATGTAAAAAGTTGGGAGGAGAGGGGGAGGGGGAGGAAAAGACAATCCTTGGTGTCGGTGTCGGCGCGAGTTGGGTGAGACGTCTCGACGTTCGCTGAGATTTAACGTCGTTGGTCTGAGTCCCGGGTGCTGGTCGACGTGAGGTCGGTGAAGTGGTGCTCGAGCGCTGTCCATGCTTCGGTGTCTTGGGCTCTCTGCGTCCATGTGATGTCGTTCGGTTGTCCTTTCGAATGGGCTTGCGTGGTCGGTCGGTGGAGGTCTGGTCTGCGTTGACGTAAGTAAATGGTGACTTTGTCGCCCCAACGCTTAATTTGGCCACCGTGCTGCCTGTGTACCCGCTGGCGCGGGTTGAGCACTGGATGCCAGCGCAGCACTCGCCATCTCCACCACGTCCGGTCGTGGTTTGCGACTCGCGAAGCCATGCGCCATACTTTCCGCTTGTGCAGCGTCTCCCAATTGTCAATGTGGTGAAGCTTCATGAGGTGCTTTGCGGGTCATGTCGCTCGCTGAATGTAGTCGACCCATGGTTTCATTTAGTCTGCGGTGGTGCTGTCTTCGCCGTCTTCGCGGCGCTTGTAAAGCGTGCGAGGTGCATCACACTGTGATGGGTTGCGTCGTCGCTAGTGTTGTTGGTGCGGTCTTCGTGGTGTTGTGCTTCTCTGTTCGCGCCGTCGAGATTAGGTCCCTGGCCACTGTGAGGGTCGGCTTCTTTCGTTGTGCGTCTCCGTGGCGTTATGATGATAAAGCGAAGCATGCGTCGTTGTGTCCGTCGTAGATGCTGCCGCAGACGCTCCGTGAGGGTCCACGTCTCTGCTCCGTATAACGCCGTTGGTGCTACAGTGCTATTGAAAAGTCGGAGTCGGTGAGCCAGTGGGTAGTGCTTGCTGGTCAGCTCCTGCTTACGAGACGCGAATGATGCCCATGCGGCTCTCGTGCGGTGGTGGATTTCCGTTCCCATCGGTTCGTGGAAGCTGATCAATAAGCCGAGGTATGTGATACTGCCCTCGTATAGAACGATTTCGATACCCATGTCTTGGATACGTGCTGTGCGTGAGTTCGCCCTTCCGGTCCTTCTCGTCCGGTTGCTCAATATTTCTGTGTTTCTTGGGTGTAGTTCGAGCTCGTGCAGCCTCGTCGCGCGCACAATGTCGTCAAGCCTCCCTGTCAGGCGCGGGAGGAGTTTGACTGGTCAGGAGCACGTCGTCGGCGAAGCGTAGGTTGGTCAGCGTGGCGGTGCTTGTGAATCCCAATTCAACTCCCTTCCTTTTCTGCTGCCATTCGGAAACCAGCGGTCCAAGGATGTTTGTAGAAGAGCGTTGAAGAGTAGCGTGCCAAACATGGTGTTTTGGAAGGACTCTGGATTATGAGGGCGCAACAAGTATGTTGATTCGCGGTGTTGAAGTCCCAGGGATGGCGTTCTGGCATGCTTCAGAATCGTCAAGACGCAACAGTCAGGTTGACCCGTGGCGTTGGGATCCCGAGAGCAGTGTTTTGGCATGCTTCAGAATCTTCAAACGGTTGTCTTCCGACGAGGCAGTTCCCTCAACCTTGTAGGGGCCTATGAAGAAGAAGCTTGGAGTGAGGGCGTATTCCAACATCGTTGATGACTCTGGGATTTTCAATGGTCCTCCTCGTCCTCGTCCTCGTCCTCCTCGTCCTCGTCCTCCTCGTCCTCCTCCTCCTCCTCCTCCTCCTCCTCCTCCTCCTCCTCCTCCTCCTCCTCCTCCCCTTGAGCGGGAGCTAACCTACTCTTGCCCCCAGAGGCGGAAGAACACTGAATCCGCCGAGGCACTCATCTCATACCTCACTCTGCTTCGATTGGGCGTGACGGCCCAGCCGCGATCACAAAGTTGGGGGGTGCCGGCATATCCGCAATCACCCGCTGCCGCACGTTATGGCCCTAGATTTTTGCGGCCGGTGGGGCGGACAAATAGTGCCCCCCACTCAGGCACCTTCAGAACACCGGATAGCTGATCAGCTCACCGGTGCACTGCGGCAGCGTCCCGTGGGGCGAGCAAATCGTGCTTCCCCAGGGCACGCGTAGTACACCGGTTAGCTGGACAGCTCACCAGTGCACGGCGGCTGCGCCCCGCGGGGCGGTCATTTCGTGCCCCCTCTGGGGTACCTGCAGAACACCCATTAGCTGGGCAGCTCACCGGTGTCCTGCGGTTGCTTCGACCTCGTGACAGCAAAGAGCGACTCGGACTCTGTCTCTCGCCAGCTGCCGCGCGCTCTGATTCTAGTTTGTTGCGCCCGGTGGGGCGGACAAATCGTGCCACCCCCTCCAGGCATCCTCATTACAATGCTTAGCTGGACAGCTCACCAGTGCACTGGCTAGGGGTAGCAAGCCTCCCTGACCTCGTAGCACCCGGTGAGCTTCCACAGGACCTCCCTACATGGCTACGGAGCCAGCGTCTGACGCAATTCTGGGGGATGCCAGCTCATCCTCCGACCAGGCGATGTGACACGCTTCACGCCTCATCACTTGCATGATAGGCGGCGACGTCACCTGTCGCGAAGCCCCCACCGCCTAACCGCATGCGTCGAACAGAGGTGGCTGTCTCGGGCGTGTCGACCACACGTACCGTCCACCACTACACAGTGCCTTCAACGGTCCCCGCACAGGCTCTGGGCCCACAAGGGTTGCCACCCCAACCCTCACGAGCACCGCTCCAGGATGGGAGAGCCCATGTGTCCCATCCGACTGACAGGGTCATGCCTACCCTCAAGGGCATCAGCGCTACACTACGATCCTCCTCCTCCACCTCCACCTCCTCCTCCTCCTCCTCCTCCTCCTCCTCCTCCTCCTCCTCCTCCTCCTCCTCCTCCTCCTCCTGTTCAATTTCCTCCCTCACTCACTCCCTCACTCCTCAACCCCTCTGCCCCCCCCATTCGGCGGACAGCGCGTCCGCTCGACCTCTCCCTACGCGTTACCCCCTTACGCCCGAACCGGCCCGCGACGACCTGGCGGGCGAAGGCGAACACCGACCAGGCGCCCGCCTACGCTGGCTCGCCCGGGCGCCCTCCACTCCGCGGCGGCAGCCTGTACTCCCTCGCCCCACGCCCCTCTGCGCCCCCCCCTCGGCCTCCTGCGGCGGCGCGCCCGCGCCGCAGGGGGCGGCCGCCGCGCCTGCCGCGCCTGCCCGCCTCCAGCACACCCGCCAGGGGGCAGCGAAGTGTTCGGGCTGTGCAGAGCGCGAGGGGCAATCGTTTCGCGCTCTTCTCGCGCCGGCCTCGGGAGGGAGAACCAGGGATACCTCTTCGAGAGGGGCCGTGGCTGCGCCACGCCCCCTCGCCTGCTCGATGACACACAGTGGAGAAAAAGCTTAGAGTGAGCGGCCAACCCTCCTGGAGGATGGCGGGGAGGAGGGGCAGAAGGAACAAAGAACGAGGGGGCGGGCCGCGCGCCGCGAGGGCGAAAACGGCTCTGCGCCCCTGCGGCGGCCCGTGATGACTGACGACCGGGCGACCCCTACCCCGTCGGCGGCTCCGTGGCAGCTGCGACTGACGGACAAGGTGGGGAGGGGCCAGGCTCAGGGGGGAACTCCTCCCCCCTCCTCCTCCCCCTCCTCCTCCCCCTCCTCCTCCTCCTCCTCCTCCTCCTCCTCCTCCTCCTCGTTCTCCTCGAGCTGGAGTCTGCGATACGTTGCCCGATCGGACCCTGCTGGCCGACCCGCCCAAGAACGTGCGCACTCGCTCTCTCGGGGGCCTGTCGCAACAGGAAGGCGACGATGCATCACCGATTCCAACTCGATGTTTCCCCCTCTGACCCTGTTCCCCCCCGACGTTGCAACTGAGGCAGGGTTGGGACGAGGAGAGGGGGAGAGCAATCATCCACCACGGGTCCAAAGGGCGGCGACCGTCGAGCCGTCGCGACCTGACCTCCCCCGGCTGCCGCCGTCGAGCCGTCGCTGCCGCGCCGTCGGGGGAAGGAGAGAGAACAGAGAAAGAAAAAGCTGCACAATGATAAACACCTGAGGCCCGCAAAACAAAAATGGCGTTGGAGCCCCCTGGCGGCGCCTCTGGCGAGGCCCCTGGCACTGGCGAGGTCCCTGGCGAGGCCCCTGGCGAAGCCCCTGGCACGCCAGGGAATGGTCCAGCGCCATTGCAAATCCACGACGATCCAGGGAGGGAGGCAGGATCTGACAGCATTGCATCAGGGAATCCGGGACGACACGTCGGATCAAGCCGCATCGACACGGAGTCGGAATCGAAAGAGATCGGCCGCGCCAGGGGCCACAACAGCACCATACTGGCCTCGGAGTGCGTGTCAAAGGATGCGCCTCGCCGTGAGCGTTCCGTGGGCGCCCCGATCGTCCCGAACGGCCGTCTGAGGCCCGAGTTATGGTATGGCCCGCGAGCCGAACCTCCAACGTCCTGGAAAGAAGTACAGTGCGGACGCGGCCATCCGAAATCCCCGCAGGGAACCCAAACCTTAAAATCCACGTGCGAAGGACATCTGGGGGGGGGGGAAACCCCAGGCACCCCGAGCGCAGAGAAGTTCCCCGACGCCTGCGGGCAGTCACCGCGCAGCGAAGAAACGCAGGGTACCCCGACGAGCAGCATGAGGTCTCTGGACCAAGACGAAGCCAGGACGGAGATAAAATCGGGTGAGGATAAATCGAGAATATCTGGGATCCAGCGGTTCTGGAAAATGTCTCGGGCGCCGCGGCCTTCTCACAGTATTCCGGAACGCTCTGGGAGCGTTCCGAAACGCTCTAGGACGGATTGATCCTCGTCCTAGCCCCGCCTGACGGATGCACATCCCCGCTGCACTGGCATTGTTCACCGTTTTCAGCCTCTCTGGGAACCCTCGCCGGGCCCCGAGACCGTCGAAGAAAAACCTGGCGTAAAAAACTGGCCCGCCAGCGCGCGCGGCCCGTGGCGCCTGTCTCTGCGGTCGGCGGCGGGCCCGGACGCGAATCGGGTTGGACAACAAGGGGCCCTGATACGCAAAGCTTCCCAATGTTCCCACACCGGACGTGCTTGCCATGTTACGGGCCCTGAGGCCATCACGCATCGACCCCGCTGGAGAACTGCCGCAGGTGACGGCGCTGCATTTTCATCACGACGTCGGATCTCTGGGAGGATAGCAAGTCGGGGGCTCGCAAATCGGGCCATGCACATGGCTTTTCGGCGTTGGACAAACCTCCCTTTAGGAAACCGCCCCTTTGTGAAAACGGCCTGGGACCGAAACCGACGGACCTGGACCCGCAAAAATGACGGCCGCGACGCCCTCTCGCGAACCGAAAACGGCCAATTCCTCAATCGACGTGTCAGGGTAGGAGGTCTATCAACCTCCGAAGCACACGGCGGCTCGCATATCGGGCCATGCACATGGCGTTACTGGAGCCTCACAGCGCCAGAGGCGGCCAATATGCTGTCGAGGAAGGCTCTGGGCGGCGGGGCCGAAGCTGCCTGCATGCAGCAAAGGCCGCACCACCCCCCCCACACCTCTCCCACGCAGGCCTCCCGCGCCGAGACGAGGAGGGGGGAGGGAGGAGAGAGGAGAGAGAGACCCGGACTTCCCTCTTGCCCTGAAGCTGTCTGGAAGCGTTCCCGCCCTCTCCGCGTGCTGCTTCCCTTCTGCCCTGAAGTTGTCTGGAAGCGTTCCCGCCCTCTCCGCGTGCTGTTGTTCTGGCTTTCCTTCATCAACTTGACTCGGAGTTTCAAAGTGGTGGTCATGCTGCAGCGTGGACCTCAACTTCGGATCGGCGCGTGTTGCCTGCGCCGTTCAGAACAGCGCTATCGCCCCACTGCGGACCACTCTTCGGGATCCGAGAATCTTGCTTCACTGCGGTCCCCGCATTATTTCCCGCCCTTCGCCGTAGCCCCTGGCCTTCCTGTTCAATCCCGCTCCGTCCGCTCCAATTCCTGCTGCTGCTGCTGCTCGTGTCGCCCCACCGCGGGCCACTTGTCCTGAATCCGAGTCTTTCTTCATCGTTGTCGCCCCCCTCAATTCCCCTTTTCCACCTCCCCCTGGTCCTCCTTGCCCTCCTGATCCTTCCGCTTGAGTTCCTGGTGCCGGTGTTGGTTGTTGGTCCTCATCTTTTTCCCTCTCGCTTATCCTCCTACTCACCCGCCGCCTCCTCCTCCTCCTCCTGTACACGCAGCCCACCGTGTGCAATCGCATGTCGGCTATGACGCGCGTCCAAGAGTAGCGGAAATTCACCGACATAAGAAGGGTTGGGAGGTAAGGATCGGATACGAGATGAAGCGCGAGCGCAACTAGCTTGACGCCTCTCCCTTTTTCTGATCCCCTCTCCGCTCCCTAGATTCGGGTGCGCCGAAGAAGGGAGCCAGGAAGAAGGAGGTTTGCGCATCGTGGCTCGAGGCATATGAGCGACGAGGGGGGCCCATGGGGCAGGGAACATCTTGAAAATAAGAAGACTGAAGAAGGAATGACATTTGGCAGCTCTCATGGCTGGCCCCGGCCATGATCACCATTTGATCCGTGGGCGCTCAGGTCTGCGAGACGGTCAGGCACCTGTCAAAGCGAGCGGTGGGCTGCACCGGAAGCTAATACAGGCACAAAGCGAAAAAAGCAAGAGGCGAGAGCAGAGGCAAAGACTGGGTCCGATCAGACTATGCAGGTCGGCGCGGGAGCGCCGGGAGGGCGCGCAGCTGCGCACGAGCAGCACGTCGCCTGCCAGAGGTGAAGCCCTGGTAGGAGGTATGAGAAGGGGGGCACGAGGATGACTGGGGGCTGAGCTGGTGCCGCCGCGGCTTAGAGAACGAGGGGAGGGGGTCCTCCTCCTCCTCCTCCTCCTCCTCCTCCTCCTCCTCCTCCTCCTCCTCCTCCTCCTCCTCCTCGTCCTCCCCCTCCTCCTCGTCCTCCCCCTCCTTACCCCCTCCAACTTATGGTGGTGGTGGTGGAAAACAGGTCCATCATGTTGGACGCCCCCAGAGAGGCCCACCTGGGGCGAACCGACCTCCTACGAAGCCACACTGCGCCGCCGGCTGGTCTCCACGTCCGCTGCCGCAGAGTCTTGCCCCTCAGGGACTCGGGGAGCGACGGACGTCTGCCGCCAACGCGGGCAGGCAGACATCCAGATCCACAGACTAATTACCAAACCACCCCAACCCAACCCGAAGGCCCGAGTTGGACCCGAATTTCGGGTTGGGGGGGTACGGGTTCCGTGTGTCTTTGCCATGTTCCCCGACCCCCCCCCCGCTGGAAATGGAGGGCACATTGAGGACTTCGGGTTGGGTTGGGGTGGGGGTTGGGGTGGCTTGGTAGGTGGAATTCCACCACTGCTCAAGATCTGAGAGTGCGTGATACACCGCCGCTTTACTGTGGAAAATTCCCCCCCCCCTTCCTCTGGAACCCAGGGGTTCCCCCCCCCTCTGAAATCACCCCCCCCCTGCTGGACACCCCCCCCCCTCCTTCCCGGCAACCCCCCCCCCCCTATCCCGGAAAACCAGGGGTGGTCACTACCGGTTCGAACCCCTCCCCCCCCCAAAAAAAACCACGGGGGGTCACTACGGTTCGAACCCCCCCCCCCTCCAGAAAACCGGGGGAGGTCACCACCGGTTCGAACCTGCCCCCCCCCCCCCCCCAGAAAACCAAAAAAAACACTACCTGTTCGAACCCTCCCCCCCCCTCCAGAAAACCAGGGGAGGTCGCTACTGGTTCGAACCACCCCCCGCCCCCACGCTCACCGCCGGCAAACGACTCCCGGGTCCCTACCACCGTCCGCACCACATCCCCCACTGCTGTCCCCAGCACCAGTCCTCACCACCACTGTCCCCACTGTTTCCAGCACCGTCCCCACTGTCCCCACCAGTGCCCCCAACACTGTCGCACTGTCCCCACTGTCCCCACCACTGTTCCCACCATGGTCCCACCACGGTCCCACTTTCCCCACGGTCCCAACCACTGTCCCACTGTCCCCACTGTCCCACTCTCCCCGCCACATTCCCAGTCCTCACACCAGTCCCCACCACCACCGTCCCCACCACTGTCCCACAGTCCCCACCGCTGTCCCACTGTCCCAACTGTTCCCATCATTGTCCCCGCTGTCCTCACCAGTGCCCCCACCAGTGTCTCACTGTCCCCTCTCTCCCCACCATTGTCCCACAACGGTCCCACTCTCCCCCCACTTTCCCCACGGTCCCCACCACTGTCCCACTGTCCCCACTGT